GCCTGTTATTTTTTAAAGCTAATAGCAATCAGGCTAATAAGGTAAAGAACATCCTGGACAACTATGAGAGAGCCACTGGACAGCTAATAAGTCCATCTAAATGCTCCCTGCTCCTTGGAAACAAATGCTCACAAGAAGATGGACAGGACGTAATAAATATCCTGAATGTAGTAACGGTGACTTTTGAAGAGAAATAACTGGGTTTGCCGGTTCCAGAAGGACGTATGGTAAAAGGGAAATTCAAGCACACAAAAGATAAAGCGAGGAAAAGAATGAATGATTGGACAGAAAAATATTCTTCCAGTGGAGCTAAGAAGACACTAATTAAATCAGTGGCCCAAGCGATTTCCACTTTTGCAATGAGTGTCTTCAAGTTCTCAGCAACCCTCTGTGAGGAGCTCATGCACATGACCAGAGACTTTTGGTGGGGAGATGATGAAGATCGCCGACGTATCCATTGGTTGAGTTGGAAAAACTTACAAAACGTAAAAGCCAAGGAGGTATGGGATTCAAAGATCTTAAAGTTTTTAACCAGGCTCTTCTCGCTAGGCAAGCCTGGCGACTGATTGCACATCCTGATAGCTTGTGCGCGAGAGTACTTAAGGCAAAATATTACCATAGGGCTGATCTGCTAGACACGGCGTTTATTCATAATGCGTCGCCGGGTTGGCAGGGCATCATGCATGGTTTGGAACTCCTTAAAAAAGGATGTATTTGGCGCATCTGCAACGGAAATAGTGTTCGCATTTGGAGAGAATTGGATCCCGAGAGGAAACATGAAAATAAACATGAACCCAACAAGGTCCCAAACTCGGTGGGTAGCAGACCTCATCGACCAGGAGAGTCACGCTTGGAAGGAGGACTACATCATGCGTATATTTACACGCGAAGACGCAAATGATATTTTAAGTATCCGACTACCAAATTATGATGATGAGGATTATATTGCGTGGCAGCCCCAAAAAAATTGGAATTTTCAGTGTTTGTAGCGCATATCGGTTAGCCATGGACGAAAAGGGTTCTGGGGTGATTGGGTCCAGCCACAATACCCAAGGAGATTGCAGTATTTGGAATAATATCTGGAAGACAAATGTACTCCAAAAAGTACATATTTTTACATGGAGACTAGCATCGGAGTCACTGGCGGTTCAAACTAATAGATTTCGTCGCATCCCAGGCCTCACCCCGATTTGTAATGTATGTGGGGCCGAGGATGAAACAGGCTTCCATATGGCACATTGATGCACATTTGCAAAGGCCTTGTGGCACGAACTCAAGGAGGCATGGAACCTGCCCCCTGAGCAGGAAGTAGAATATACTGGAAGGGATTGGGTCCTAATCTTGCTAGATAAGGTGAGTGAAGATATGAAATAAAAATTTATGCTATTTTGGTGGCGTGTTTGGCATCATAGAAATGACGCGATCTTCGCAAAAGGTAAAGCAAAAATTTCCCACTCTGCTCGTTTTCTGCAAAACTACCTTGCGAACATCCGCTTGATTACGGAGGGAACTTCTGAGATAGATCGAAAAGGGAAAAGTCCGATGGTTAACTTGCCGTCAGTGCAACAACATGATCATACAAAGGAAAAAGGATGGACAATGCCAGAGCTCGGATGGGCTAAGGTCAATGTTGATGGAAGTTTTTTGGAGGAAAATAGGAGTGGAGCCTGGGGAGCTGTGATTCGAGATCATGATGAAAGAATTATCTTATCAGCTTGGGATTATATACCGCGATGCAATGGAGCGGACTGCACGGAAGCCATGGCTTGCCTAGAAGGACTAAGGATGGCAATGTCGGGGACGAATCTACCCTTAATCATCGAGACGGATTGCAGCTCGGTGACAAAGGCGCTTATCCTCTCGTCTATTGATAGATCGGAGGTTGCAACAATTGTAAAGGAGTTTCAAGCCATGAAAGGGAACAGAGAAGTAAAAGTTTGCAAAGTAGATAGAAGGGACAATAGTTTAGCTCATAGTCTTGCCCAGTTGGGGCGTAGAGAGTTGCGTGGTGGGGTTATGCAAGGCTCTGTGCCAACCTGCGTGTTGAGTGAGGCCTTGCACGATTGTACGAACTATGTTTCTCTACTTAATTAATACAACTCTCTATTTCAAAAAAAAAGACAGTTGATGAATAGATGGGAACTTTTCTCGCCAAAAAAAAACAATAATCAAACTGAAGATGGAACAAAACAACACTTGCGCACCAGACTTGTACAATAACTGGAGACTAAGTTGTTGTAAGAAAGTGAGAAAATATATCTGTCAAAAAACAACCCACAACTTAATAAGCAGTCAAGTATGTCTCTAGAAAGAGGCCATACCGCCACACTTACAGGCCTCTGTTCTTCACAAACATGCAATTGATTATCATATTCACGTATAACTGTAATACTTTGAGACAACCAGATAGAGCAAACTCGTATACTTGGTAATAATAAAAATCTAACACAGCAAAATTTCTCTATTTGAATGTTCTTTCCTAAAGATATGTCATCATAAAACAACATATCTGTTATAACCAGTTATACAATAAGTACCCTAAACATAAATAGCATCATTGGATAGTGAACCTTTGAATTATATGGTGAGAGCAGCCATCTCCTGGATTTTTCAAGTTCTGCTATCGTTAGTGCTTGTTCTATTGAGTTTGGGCACATACGTTGACACTCTCCGGAGCTACTCAGCTGTTGCAAATAACACCAAGGGAGACACAATCCTGTATGAAACCTTAGTCATGGTATACTGTAATCTTTTCTTTAAGAAAAATGCCCATTACGGGTGATATCATTAAGAATATTAACAGGTTACATCATATGCCAATGAGTTCAATATATAGAAGGACAGAAGGGACAGGAAGCACAACATGTATTTAGTACAGGTAGCATGCCTGCTAATTTAGCTCCCTACCAATGAACTGGCTTTGCTTCTGTGGAATTGTCTTCTTCTCTAATTACCAAAACTGTTGGTCAGCTGCTATTAAATAGTCAATAATATCGTCCGGCTGGATGAGACATCTCTCACCTATGATGACTCATTTGTGAGATACTCCTGAGAACCTGAGTGAACAGAGCAAGATGCTTTTATCTTGGATGTGGACTCCAAGTATACCGATTAAGAAGGCAAATAAGGGGGGCATCAGAGAAGCAAGTTGTAAGAAAATCATGCTTATTTGCAAGTTAAGATATGTTCAGGTTAAACCACACACTGGGATATCTTAGGGCGATTTGCGTTTTAAATGTACTTTTAGGCTACCTACATGTTTGGTTCTGCATATAAATGAAGATCTCAGCACAAAAATAAATAAAGAATACACTATTTGTCTCTATCTAAGCAAGTGACCAAGAATTTCGAAGAATTAACCGCATGACAGTAAACTAAATAGTCACCATCTTAAATAGCATAAGAACAACATACACACGAAGAAGAAACTACACGGCATAACTCAATAGCTATTTAAAAGAAGTATTCCATATAATATATAAAACTTGCTTCTTATTCCTTCTATTACCCAGCGACACACAAAGAGAACTCATTATTTAGCTTAAAATCATTACTATTCCATTTTGAGGAAATTCAAAAAAGAAAAATAATTTTAGCAGAACTAAAAGTTACTTATCATTAGTTACCACTATTAATGATATAAAATTCCATCATTTGAAATTGAAACACTAGCATACATGTTGTGTGCTGCTCTTTGTTCAAGCATAGGTAAGGAACTAAGTCTTACTTGGATTCTGCAGAAGCGTACCTTCTATCCTTCCACTTCCTCTCATTTCTTCACTACCAGAAAAATGAGCCCGTCAACATTACAGGGTAAAGAAAAATATGTACATCCGTGAAGAAAGCTCATGTAAAATTATGTAGCAAGGCATGTGAACAAAAGATAGATTAACCTGTTTTTCTGCAAGCCTCAACAAAAGGATTGAACAGAAAAAATTGCTTCTTGGATCAGAACATATACACAATCGGTGATCAATGGATTCCAAACTGGTAAAATAGAAAACGATATGGAAGTTCTTAATTCAGTGAATTTTTATATTTGTACATTTTAATACTTGACAATTCAGGAGGTAAAAACAACAGCAGGATGTTCCTTGGAACAATAAGAATAAACATGACATGATTTGAAGATGAATCATCGTTTTCTACACAACTTATGGTAACTCATAGCTTCATTTTGGTTTCAAGTTTAGCAGTGCTAATTGTCGCTAGCACACTAAAATCAGGCTAGAGATACCACAATATCAGCAAGCAGCAAGGATCAACAAAAGGTAGCTCACCCAGGTTGCCACCATGTTGAAGCTCCCTGTAGTTAACCAATTCATCCCCTTGAGCCCAGTGGAGAACTTCTGCCGTGTTACTTCCGTTTCCAATTCCTGAATCTTGCATGTGTAGACCTTATAAGGTCCACATTCTGCTTGGAAAAAAATATAACAGTTCAAGTATGGTGGCATGACAATGTGCATAGAAAACTTTATTTGATTCGAGATATAATTTTACACACCTGCTCACTGTAAAGTTCTGAATTTCTTAACCCAGGTAGAGAGACTTTTTTCTGCAACAACCGAAAGATGCATAAAACAACATTAGAGATAAAAATGAACTAATTTGATTGGTGAATGCACCAAACCCACCTGAAGTTACTACGGGAAAACAGGAGTTCACACTGCACCTGCTATATTGACTACTCAATTTTCGCATCTTTGCTGTAACTGGATCTCTGTTTGATCTATTCAATTTCAATAGGATACATAAGGATAAACATACGATGGCAACCCAAATAAAGTATGCAAAGATTTATTCAAGGATAGAGCAAGCTTACCGTTGCTTTGTTGTGAATATTTCGTACACAATCCGTGGCTTAGCCTGCGCGAACAACCCGAGCGGCGGCGACCGGCGAGCAGGGAGAGGGCAGCCGCGCGGGCTAGGTAGCCACGAACACGCACATGAACCAGGGGTTCGAGCACCCAAGCAAACACCCCACCAGCATGCGCTCGTACTCATGCACATGGCAGCAGTGGGGGCAGACCGTCCAGAGCACATCTCTGAGACGGAAACGCCGCCGGGAGCAGCAGGAGCGAAACCGGCGCTGGTGGAGGTGCTCTCCAAGAGGTGGGCAAAGGCCTCTTCAACGGCGCGAAGGGCGGTGTCAGCCGGGGATGGGGATCGCGCCGAGGGGCCAGGAGGTTGGCTAGGCGACGGAAGACCCGCCTGACGTCCGGGGTGTCGGGGTTGGGCTGGAGCTGGAGGATGAAGAGGGAATCGGGACGGCCGGAGGGGAGGAGGCACTCGACGGCAAGGTGGACGCAACCCCTCGCCGGTACGCCCCCTGGTGGCGGCTCGGCAGCCGAGCCCCTCCGCGGCCGCTTGTGGATAAGCGAGGCCGGGGGCCATCTTATAGAGGCGCTGGGGCGGCGGTAGAGCGGCAGGAGATGGGATAAGCGGCGGGCGGCAGGCGGCGAGCGGCAGCAGACGGGATAAGCGGCGGGCGGCTCGAGAGGGAGCAGGCCACCGCCCGGCAGACTGAAAAGTTTGACCATGAATCAAATTGCAGGAAACGATAGTGACAGGAACCAATACAGAACCAGATGAGCGATCGAGACGGCGCCACCGTGGACTGAACGCAAGCATAGGAAGAAACGCTAAACATACGCTAAATCTACCTAAATAAGTCGTATGGCAGTTCAAAAAATTTGAAACGGCAAACCAAAGTCACAGCGCATTCGTACCCAACCAGGTACCAAACAAATACACGTGCCATCAAATGAGTTACCGCCAGGCTGCTTTCAACCAAGTGGGTAACTCTCATCGCGAAAACCTTGCCTGGAATAGAGGCTTGGGTATTGTCATATTCTCTACAAGATAGTGTTTCTTTACAGTGATAATTGTGCCTTTAGTGATAATGTTCAACACGAGGTCTTCACTGACAAAGAGGTGCAAGTGGCATCTCACTTCGTCCTGCGAATCTATCAATCAGCTCATCGATTCTAGAAATTTAACGCTACATTTGTACTCTGCTATTATCCACCAGCCCACCCCGCTTGCATCCCTAAGTGACATGGTACGCCTCACAAGAATTATTGCATGCGGATCCATTTCTTTCTCAATGTAGTGTTCCGGAGCTGAGCTTGCCTGGACAACATAAATTTTTATTACCGAGTGGCTGGCCTGTAAAACAAGGTTGCTTAAATAATACTCCCTCTGTATAGGGCTAAAAAACGTCTTACATTTTATTACCGAGGGAGTAGAAGGCTTGTTTGGTTAGTTTTATGCATATTTTATTTGTTTTAGTAAATTTTGTGCCAGGTGTGTGGCAAGACACAACCGCTTTTGTGGTAAGCAAACTGCTCATCACAAGTGTGGCAAGATTTCTCAAAAAATGTATCCGCCGTCATGCCGTGTGGGTGCAGATTCAAGAAAATGTGGCGTGCCAAAATTTGGTAAAGAACAAATGCAAGCTTATCAGAGTCAAACTTGTCTAACTCATATATGAAGCAAACTGTGGCAAGGAACAACAAAACACCACCTAAGCTGTGTTCTGGTAGTGGCAAATCTAACATATGAATTATCGTTTTTTGCCCCTTGAGTATGGAATTGCTAAGCAACCACCAGCAAAAACTCTAAATGTGGATGATCATTTCATGAACAGCATTAGGAACATGAATACTCCGCTTGGGCACTGCAGAAATGAATGTGCCGTGCTTTAGGAGTTCTATTTGGGCACTGCAGAAGTAGTTAAATGATAAAACTAATGAAAATTTGATTGGCTTACGTTTTTTTTCCAGCTTGACTTCCTTTACCCAGAACGGCACCAAAATATTTCTTTCAAAATTCAATCAGTAAGTCATAAATTCCAAATGGATCTACTGCAGTTAAAACAACACTGCACATCTTAATCCATGACATGTAAACAAAGTTGTCTGGTCACTGTAAAATTAACCTTGAGCAGTCACTGCCACGAAATATAAATATTCGTTATCTAGCGAACTTATCCCTTGTTCAGTCCTAACAAATAACAGGAAAATGAAAGAACTACCAGTACTGTTATATTGAGAACTCACATAGGAGAGGCCTGAAGGTTTGATCATGTAGAGCTGTGGCCCATCCCTGTCATAGTCTCCAAGAATAAATCCACAGCCAAAAAGCCTGAGACAGGAGTTTAAATTGTATCAAACTATCATGTAACATGTTGAGGGCAACAGCCTTCTTGGGACACGTTGCCTGCCTTACCTGAGCCACCAGTAGAGTGTACAAAATGAACATAGCTAGAAGCACAATCAGCTAATTCGTTTGCAGGCATGGGTTCTCCGAATACCTTGGTGGATACAACTTAAAGTTACAATTCTATAAAAAGAATTTGGATGGTAATCAGAAGTCTAATAATTCTCACTTTTTCATAATTGGCTGCTTCTGACTTTGCTCTTGAGACTATATTTTCTCAAGAGAACAATCTGAATATCCTTTTGTACAATATGAGCTAAACTTAGACCGCACACTTGTAAAATGCCATTTATTTAGGAACGGACTAACATACATATAGTCCATAACCAATCAATGTGCGCTACTTGAGTACATTAGTCTCCTGCATTACGGCATGTATCGAGATGGGCATGACAAGGATATTCACACAAGAGCTAGCGGCACCAAGAAAAGTCATCTCTGAAACTACTCTTCTACTGGAAATCTCACACATCACCCTGAATCCGCGACATGTTAACTGGATCACCTTCGGTTCCAGCAGATATTGGGACCTGATTGGAATAAAAACTCCCAAGAGCAACCAAAATTTCTGATCAAATTCCAAGAAAATACCTGGGAGAAGGGGATGGTGTCCACAAGCAGTGCCTCCCGCAGAAACCGCCTCTCATTTTCCTTCTCTTCCTTCCCATCCATGCAACACAAATGCCAGCCTCCATTGTCAAAAGCAATCCGTCGAACAACTGCAGAGCATCACAACAAACTGAACTAGAGGAAAACAACTTACAAATCGATGAGGGCGGAACCAAGCCCAGCGAACACGGCGTCAGTGCCTTTCGCATCAGCACTGTGGAGGATCAACTCCTCACTTTCTCGCTGAGCGACTAAAGGACTCGAGCGACACGCCAGCAGCGTCTACTGCGCGGGGAGGGAGATGGCGAGCACCCACCTACCCCCTCGCCTTGGCCTTCGGCTGCCTGCACTTTGAGGAAGCCGCATGTCGGTGTCAAAACCGGCGGATCTCAGGTAGGGGGTCCCGAACTGTGCGTCTAGGCCGGATGGTAACATGAGACAAGGGACACAATGTTTTACCCAGGTTCGGGCCCTCTTGATGGTGGTAAAACCCTACGTCCTGCTTGATTAATATTGATGATATGGGTAGTACAAGAGTAGATCTACCACGAGATCAAGGAGGCTAAACCCTAGAAGCTAGCCTATGGTATGTTTGTTGTATGATGAAGTTGTCCTACGGACTAAAAACCCTCCGGTTTATATAGACACCGGAGAGGGTTAGGGTTACACAAAGTCGGTTACAATGGTCGGAGATCTTGAATATCCGCATCGCCAAGCTTGCCTTCCACGCCAAGGAAAGTCCCATCTGGACACGGGACGGAGTCTTCAATCTTGTATCTTCATAGTCCTGGAGTCCGGCTGAAGGTATAGTATGGCTAACCGGACACCCCCTAATCCAGGACTCTCTCAGTAGCCCCCGAACCAGGCTTCAATGACGACGAGTCCGGCGCGCAGATTGTCTTCGGCATTGCAAGGCGGGTTCTTCTCCAAATTGCGTGTACCTGCTGAATAATGTCTGATTTTCATAATGTAGTGCACCTTGGCTTCCACGCCTAATAATGGCCGTCTTCCACGTGTCAAACGAATGTGAAAAGTCGGGGTATTTTTACATTCACACCCCTAGCCGCATAAACGAGCCACCTATTTAATGGGATGGGGATTCAGATCCAAACCACACCTTCTCCTCTCCGCGAGTAATCATCAGAGCGCCTCCAGCAAAGGTTCATTCCAACATGGCCAGCTGTCGCAGCTCCTCCTCTCGCCCTTCCAGTCCCAAACCTGGAGACTGGGAGAGGTGCTCCATCCCGCACAGCGAGCTAGTGTCGCTTCAGGCCAAGGGATTTCTCCCTCAGGCCTATATGGTCCCGGTCCGAGCCGGACTCGCCACCTATAATGGCGGAGAGCACCCCCAGTCCCTCCAAAGGAAAGCGGGTGTGCCTCGTCCCTTATCTAGTAAGAGGACTTGGATTTCCAATCCATCCATTTCTCCGTGGGCTTCTGGAGTTCTACGGCCTCCAGCTGCACGATCTCACGCCCGCCTCTATATTGCATATCGCGGGCTATGTCGCTCTTTGCGAGCTATTCTTGGGTGTTGAGGCTCATTTCGCGCTGTGGAAGAGATTATTCTGTCTGGTGCCCCGCTCTCAAGAGGGGTCTATATATCAAGTGGGCGGAGCCGAAGTGTGGCGTATCGCCGGGACCGGATATCTATCCGGAACCCCAAAGAAGGCGTCCGAGGACTGGCCTTCGGAATGGTTTTATATAGATGATGTCCCACTACCGGACCCTATCCGGTTCGGTCTCCCCGAATTCAACAGTGCCCCCTTAAAGAAACGCCTGAGCTGGCGTCCGCGGAGCTCTCAGAAAGAAAGCGACAGGGACGTCCTTCGCCTGATGGGCCGGATAAGACTATTGGCTCATTCCAGACTAACCATGATTGGAGTCATGGCCGCATGCATTATGCGGGGGATGCAACCGCTTCAATATAGAGGCCACCCCATGTGGGATTTTAACAGGGAGGATGACGCCACCCGTTACGGTCGTAAGGGGCCAGCCTCAGCTGCCGCTCTAATAAAGATCTTATCCTCTTTGTACAAGGGAGAAGAGGAGGAATTCCTCCGCGTCAACCCGCAGGGCGGATTTAGTATGTACAACCCCCCGAGTTGGGTAAGTGAACAATTGTGCCTGCCCATCCGCTTTATATTCCCATGATTAAATATGTAATCCAACGATTTCAACGCAGGAACCGCGTCAGGAAGTAAAGGATATAAACAGCCGTCCCCCACAACCCGAGGATCCAGAACGGTCCCTCGATCCAGACTCCGAAGAGGATCCGGATATATCGGTGGAGTTGATTGACGGGGTGTTTCATCAGTTAAGCAAGGACAATACCTTGGTGGCCATTACGGCTGATTACCCAGGGTTAATCCCGGCCTCCCAGGTAACAGAGAGCGGAGTATCATCCCTTTGAGAAGGAATCCATTCTCACGCATTTCAGTTTTCCTGACAACGACCGTGTTTTGCAGGGGAGGTTTCCCAGGCGGGAGGCCGAACCTGCGGCGGCTAGCCAATGAGGGGCCGCAAGGCCTCGTGGGGCAAAAAGGAATGTAGTCCGGACTGGGATGCCGGCGCAAAGGTATAGCGCATCCTCTTTTTCCCTGGTGTTATTTCTTCAGGGCATATTAACATTCGTGCTATCTTCAGGACGAAGAGACCTCGCTGGACTACATCCGGAGAGGTTGCCAACCGCGCCTCCACCAGCCAGGCTCCA